TGCATTTTGGCAGGTGGATTGGTGGCTGTAGGCACTAACTCAAATTTCAATCACTGGTCAGGTTCATTTTTTTCCTTCACAACACACTATCCAATTTTGGAATCAGACATTGTGATCACAATGCTAATGTGCTAAGGAATGTTTTCCGCATTTTTCGGTATTTTTCTATCCATTTTTAGGGGTTGGCCAAATTTTGAGGGTGAAAAACTTTTGGACCCCACAGAGAGGAAATTGGCTCGTGCAAATCACTTTATCATGTCCCAAATACTATATCTGTAGGCTTAAATATTTGATTTGATTCAATGGAGAGTGCCCAAAAATCGGAGACCAAAATTGTCGAGTTTGTTTGTCCGCAACTGTAGTATATCATGTATCTACTAGTCTGCATTCATTGCAAAAAACAACTACGAACTGCGAGCCTATCGAGGAAATCCAAGCCTGGGAGTAACAAGAGTGTGTGATATTAAGGCATGAGATATTGTGAACATTATATGGTACAGAATGCAAGACGGAGAACACAGCACACAAAATTGCCATGTCATGGTATCATGAGTCGCATGGGAGTCGGGAGCTTCCCTATGGCAGTTTCAGCTGTCCCTGTATAAATATCAGGACTTCCTTGGCCGAAGGTCTGTGTTCCGGTTCATCAAGCCAGCACTTCTGCATGAAATCCCATAGAGCATCCGCAATAGGTGGAGTCACTGGTCGAGCAGGCTTCCGGCCTCTGAGTATCTGTACGGTAACTTGATGGTCACTTCGAAATTCGGAATACGGGACTTTTCCCGTGAAAACCTGCAAAAAGAACAATAATCACACTGCATGGTGTCAAGATAGAACCACAAACCTGCAACATGATACACCCGAAAGAATAAATGTCTGATACCAATTGGGGCGAGCTCATTGACTTGTCATCTTTCGGGACTTGAAAGTTTTCAGGTGCGGCCCATCGCACATTGCTTCTGATATATGACGTGCCATGGAGCTCGGCACAGAAAATGAGAATTCCATGGTCAGTCACGAAGGCGTTGCCGTTCTCGTCGATAAGAATGTTGTTCTAGGTTGCGTCAATAATTCTTTTGATAAAGGTATCTATGGTACTCACGCCGGTAAGATCACCGTGTACTATGTTTTTTGAGTGCACTAATATTCCTGTTAGCTTTGCGCCGAAAACTAACGTTTGTCGCATACAGTACTGAAGAGCTGAAGCGACATCTTTGAGCTGCAACAGCAAATATTAATATGTGAGCCACACCACGAAAAAACACCCACAATGTGGAGCATTCGAGTGAGAGTGAGTTGCTGGAAATCACGTTCCAGAAGCATGGTAAGCGAGCCTTTGTGCATCCATGGGGAGACAATAGCAGGCAGTGGACCGAACCCTCGAGTTATTCCCAGCAAAGGTAGCAGATTGTCGTGTTTCAGCTGAGTATTCCGCTGCAAGTCGTGTTCCAGCCTCTGAAGTGTCGTACATTAGCAAATAAATATATGGTACCCGTGTGCGGAGCCACCCGAACCTCGGTAATTTTCATCTTGCAACTATTGTTCGGAATCTCAAGTCGCAAACACTTTACTGCAACCTAGTAGATAGGGAGACGGTCAGTTATGGGTGTGTGACAACAGGTGCAAACTTAAAGGATCTACTCGCCTCTACCGTGATTGGAGGGTTTTTGCGTATGCACTTCCAGACATCCCCAAAGCTGCCTTGCGCGACAGGGTATCGGGATGATTCCTTGCTGATTTGCTCAGTGAGGTCGGGCAGACTAATAGTCCGTAAATACTCAGCAAACAGTGCGCGACATTCAAATACATGAAAAAACAAACTTATTCTTCGCATTCTTGCCATGTATTGTTTTAACGATCGCCTCTTGTGCTGACTTCGAACCAAGCCCAAGGCTGGCAAGAAGAAAGTGTAACCCCCACTTATTCAGCCAGGCTTGAAATCGAGTGAGAATTTCTGAGACCTTCATGGATGATATCTAACTTATGGAAAAAATGTGGGGTAATATCGCAGTGGTGGTAGCCTATGAGAACGGGACGAGATCCTGATGAAGTCTCACGGTCGAGATGAAGAAGGCCTGCGGTGACGGGCAAATTTGGTGCTCGGTGATATGACGACTTGCTGGAGGTGACATGCTATCCAGCGACAAAGGTCACCTTTATCCAGGCGAATTGACGCTCTAACGTGGACGGTTATAGCAGGTTTAAGAACTACATAGACTACAAAGGGACCCAGGGTCTAACATTATTTAATATTATGACTTATTTGTCCCCTCTGCCTTCTTCAATGAATTGGTTCGATGGTGTGTGGAGCTGAGCGCAAAGTCATTCGTTTTCCCTCTGCGGTATGGTGCGATCAATAGCCGAGGGACACTTCATCATCGTGGTCTGATCAACCTGCAGGCGGTCTGTGGGCTCAATCTAATGGATTTGCCATTCCTAGCAGTGTTCTGAAATTCTTTACTTCGGGGATGCTATTGCAGAATCATTCGTCACTTCAAGGTTCTATCATAGATTGCTGCGAGCGCTCTATGATACGCACAATCGCATGTTTCTCATACTGCTCCCTTGGCTTCATCCAATTAGGGTGAGAGAAGTATGACGGCCCAGAGGAGACAGTGATAAATTGAATCACTTTTGTATAAAATATCTACATGACAACCCAAAAGTCGTGTCATGATCGGGGATCCCAGGTATTGAAGTATGCATAACTCGTGTTCTCAATCCCTAGCCTTGTATTAATATATAGCCTCTCAAGAATCAAGATAAAGTGTTTTTGCCTCACTCCCAGGTAGTGTCATTTGCGCCCAGAACAACGTGCATATGATAAGCCATCAAGGTAGAAAATAAAACCTCCTGTGCAACCTCCCTTGGGCCTCACCTGCAATTGAATGTTGACTCAGGTCCGACTCGATTAATGAAATCCACCGCAGGCCTCATAGGATCAGCCGAAGATCAGGCCGCAGGACAGAGCTAACCATTTATATACTAGTGACTAGATCTAAGATCGTGATGAGGTTTACGCCGTCTATGATTGCACCGATATGGCAGGGTGTTAGCTGCCGCGTGTAGAAGGTTGTCGAGTTGAACGTAGTTCAGTCATGCATAATGCTTTCGATCGTTCTTCGATCACTGTATGCGGTTTAAGCGCTGGCGCTGATTTCTTCCGCACACTCAGGTACCTGTAAATGTAGTTGGTGGGCATGGGGCTACATAGTACTATTTAATAGGCGCGACCAGCTGTTCTTAAACCTGCTCACTCCTGCTGACCCTTTGATTCAGCGCAACACCGCAGACCTCCATTCTTTTGCACCAATAGTAGGCTCATTATCATGGGTAACCGCTCGTCACGCCCATCATCACATCAAAGGCCCCAAACTGTGGGGCATTAAAATATTATCTCGCTCATTAGATTCAATCACTAACCTTGCCATCAGGTTACCCCTGGTACAAATGAAGCGCAGTCGTAAGTGCAATTTTCCTCATAAACTGCAAATATAAAAATACGAGGCACAGACTTGGAGTGACCTTCGATGCGAACCCACTCACCATTCCTGCTACATCCATCAGGAAGCAATCAGGCTTTCCAGTGACATCTGGTGGCTTGGGTGATATCTGGAAGTGCTCGATGATCATCGGTCCGGCAACCTCTACTGAGGTACATATGATGTTACCCTACCAATCTCGCCGACTAATATCCATTGCACAGGTTGCTGTCAAGAATATCAGGATCGCGAACATGGACGAGGAAGAAACCATCCAAAAAGCGAAGAGGGTATGTCAGCGTTTATTCCGTGATGTGAAATGCATTGAATGCCCGCTCGCAGAGACTTCGCCGCGAAGTAGCTGTGTGGATCAGATTGAGGCATGCGCATGTTCTCACTCTTCACGGCACAGTCTCCGATTTTGGACCATTGCCTGCTCTTGTTTCTACGTGGATGCACAACGGGGCACTAAATGGATACCTGAAGCGCATGAGCCTCACCATGGAACAGAAACTACAGCTGGTGAGATTCACGATGCTAAATACAAGTCCTTATTCAACGTGTGCCCTTGTTTAGTTGAAACAAGTGGTGGATGGCTTGAAATATCGTATGGGATCGCTGTTCCGAATACGTTTTCTCTCTGACAATCTCTCTAGTTCATGAACAGGGAGTGATTCACGGGGACCTAACCGGTGTATGCACTCTTCGTCGTTCGATGCTTCGGAGTTCTTACTAACTCTATAATTGAAGACAAATGTGTTGATCGACCGCGATGGCAATGCATTTTTGGCAGATTTCGGTCTGTCGTTAGCTCTCACAGAGAGTGACAGATCGTACTATAACTCGTATTCGAAAGGCGCTATCCGGTGGTCAGCGCCCGAATTGATCAGCTCACCGGATCCAGAAAGCATTCCGGATGACAGTGACAACGATGGCAACTTCCAGAAACCAAACAGTCAGAGCGATGTATTTTCGCTTGGTTGCATCATGCTACAAGTAAGTCGCGTATGTTAGACCATGTTCGAGTTTCACCTGAAACTTGCATGATACAGGTTTTCTCGGGTAGACTTCCCTTCTGGTGGCTCAAAAATGTTCAACAAGTATTCAAAGCTCAGTTCGACCGTGTAGGGCCATATCGGCCCGAATCCAGTGTGACCGTCAGCCACCAGCATTTGGATTTCATGCGGAAATGTTGGTCAACCAAACCTGAGAATCGTCCTTCCACTGAGGATGCTGCTTCCTTTGTGGAAAACGAGCTGAAAAGTGCCAGATCGCCCCTATACAACTAGCTCAGCGACGAGTGTCATGGTACACTTTGGACATAGATTGCGGTTGTGGCTCACCTATATATAAAGGAAGTGTCTCGATCAGCTTGATTAACATGCTACTTTTTCGGCACAGTACACATGTACAAAGCTTATGTACAGTATGCACGTTAAAATATGGTGGCTTAAGTTATAATATTGGACAAGTATACCCATGTAGATCGACTGCCGTCTTCGTTGCACCAGAGGCTAGCTACATAGTACAATTTTAAACTCCGACCGTTACACCCGCTTTCACGGTACCAAATATTAATACACTGTACCACCTTTCGCTTTTTGACTTGTCACTGTGCCAGCGGTACCATGCCAGCCCAATATCAGGCCCTCTCAGCCAACGATCCCGCTGAAATAGAAGCTAATCCACAACTGCAGTCTCAAATCAAGCAATTCCATGCAGATCCCCGTTTTAACCGCCCCACGCCTTCGCTCTGGAAGCGCATTACACTCCTTCTTGTGACTGCGTTCCTTTTCTGGGCTGCATTTAAGTTGCAGTCCCATAGATCCCAAACCAAGATCATTCATGCTGAAAGGTGAGTTGTCATTTTATGTAAAAACTTTTCCACCCCTTCGCGCTCCAGTGAATGGTGCAGAGGCTCACTCTCATCTTGCACAGGTACTCGAAGGATTTCAAATACCGCCCAGCAGCGAGTCCTGTAATTACGGAGCGACTCAAAGATGGTGTAGTCCGCCTTCGCGGGGCATATTTCTAGACGTAGGGGTATCGTTCAGGTAGATTTCACACCATCGCAGTACTTTCGTAATTGAGCTCACCTTTCACGAGAACATGGTTTCAGTCCAGTGATCGTATTTCTTAGATACCACTATCACTTCCGAGCTCTAGCCTCGTCGTACTTATTGCCGTTCGTTCCTTTGACCTAATAACTACACTCGTTATCCAGAGCTGTGGATTCCCCGCGTCCTAGTGGATGTGTGTATCCCTCAGCCCTGGACTTGATTGTTTATTCACGGATCTAGAATTTGCAGACAGTACTTTCATGCCTTCATCACTTCTGTATTTTGTGCTTTCAACTGTGTCTTCAGACTTACGTTCAACAGTTCTTGTTTGTGGGGGTCACGAAACTTGTTGGGCCTATCTTACACATTTCAGGCACTTGACCCAGCAGTCAACCTCTTGGATGGTCTGGAGAATGAGAACTAGAGGTTTGAAAGCAGATCGCACATGACATGGAGACAACGCAGGGTACAGTCTTCGGAACAAAATGTACCCTGCGTTGTGGGGACTCTAGTATCTTTTTGTACGCGAGAACATCTGATATTCCTACCATTTCTCGGCATTCTGGAGTACCCTATCAAGATTTCCTCGTCGTCCACCTTCCACCGCTCCCTGTCTATTATCCGGTTTCCCTTGCTCTTCCGATGTGTCAGCCTTGCCGAAGAAATTATCGTTCGTGATCATCTATATTATCTGATACTGGAATCAATGCATTTTCATAGAACCTGGTTACCTGTGCGATCTGAGACGCTCTTGGATTTGCGGAACTGTTATCTTGTGCGTTAGCGTTTTGTGCTCCCTGCGTTTTTCATGCTGACGCGTCTTAGTCAGGATCGCATGCAATCTCCTCAATCTCAATTTATGTGGTGTTCGTCTGGTGTTGACCACCCTATCGCAGCGGACTACCACTAAGCAGAGGACAGCAGGTTGACATGAAGCCCTCTTAACCTGTACTCCCCTCTTATTTTCTCGTCAAGCCTATATAGACTTTGTACAGTCACGAGGTTCACGGGATGGTACATGTGATATCTATTACGCACTTCAAAACTCGCTCACACTATCAGCTCTCGTCATACAACATGCACCGTCAGCATCCTTTAGGACCAATATGCGTCCACTGCAACTTGACTTGAACTGTCTGCTGTCTGCGCGTCCCTGATCGGCAGCTCATCCACGGACCGGTGTGTTTGATACTATTCTACACACATCTGAAGTTCATTCAAACCATCCCCTGCGCCAGGCTCGCATACGATGGTGTCACCAACCCACTCTCACTCACTATCCTCATCCTTCAACCCACCCGATTCACCATCGAATCCTCCACTACATCCGCTCTTCCGTCCTCAAGTGCTTGCGTTGACTCGTGTGCGTCGAGGAATGTTTTCGCAGAAGCACCACAATGGCCTCCATGATAACCCGATGGAAGGACTAGTTCGATACAGGCCGACGACGGACGGGATGGAATCCACAACATCCTATCAGAGGTTCCCCCGCTTCGAAATCGGAAGATTGCCCCTAAGCACTCTGTGCTGGTCGTCCGCAGGACCCTTGTGGCCCTGCTACAACTTGTCCTTGCTGTGTTGAACTGTTGGCTGTGTTGCTGTTCGTACGTCGCATAGCCTCTTCTGCTTCTGCGTCAGTCTCGTGGGTCATGCCGTATCTCTGTAAATTAATGGCAACGGTATCAAAAAGGGACACGTATTGGGGATGACGGGCTACTCACGTCTTCCTCACGGCAAGGGGCTACGACGACGGGATGCCTGGAAAGTTTTACGGGAAGTAAGCTCAAGCTCAAATTCAAGTTTAAACGCCGGGGCCGGAGCTGAATTGATGGGGGCGCGTTTGTAGGTCGAGTGCCGGAGCGCAGGAAACCGAACAAATTGCGCAGATAAAGCGGAGATGATGTGTCTGCTGAGCGACGAGGCGTACGGTTCGTGTCATTACCCCAGAAATCATTGGCCTTAATTAGTGTCAGGCTAGTAAAAGTCCAGGAAGAATAAAACTAGACTCACATATCTCGCCAAGCCTCTGTTCAAGTTTTTGCTTTGCCATCTAGGCGCAAGAGAGATCTGATGAGATAAGTGAGCGAAGGATCAGGTTATTCGAAATTAACTACAGAGAGTGAGTGATACGTCCGAGCACAAGCTAAAATGGACAGCTTGAAGGGCGAGTGATGCAGTGACGTCGGCTCGCGTCCTGCAATATCCTAGCTATGTTTTTCTTTTATATGTGTCAGTCATCAACATACTTACTATAAAAGCGCCAGCAGTAGCGTACAGGCATCTCAGTTCTTTTCAAAAGACTGGCTCGGACTCTACAAATATTAAAATGATGTCATTGCCACACTCGTCTCAAACATCAAGCTTAACGTCTGATTTTTCCACTTTGGCTCGTCGTTTTTCTTTTCGGGAGACTGTAGAGTAGGAATCGGAGATTCATATGCTGTTCATTCATGATGCGGACTCATGTGTAGCTAGTGACCCGGGTGCTGAGGATGTACCCAATGGTGAAATAAAACACTTCCTGACCATTAATTATAAGGACGAACTTCGTATGGCATGGAAAGATAGGTGCGAAGATAGATCTTGTACATCCGAATCGGACTGGCCGCTGTGCACATCGAGTTCTAAACATCGAGAACTAGAAGCAATATAAGGTTTTGGTAGGCTCTGATAACACATCTGAGAGACCTCTAATACTCCCGAGAAGTGCCGTTACATGAGGTGTACTACAGCAACCTCGTGGCCTCCTGCAACCAGACAAGCGCTCACTCGTCCTTGAATTGTATCTTACTATCCAGCAAGCTTTCTACAGATTGAAACAACCATTTATCTTATCCCATCTCTATCACATTTCAGGATTTCAAGTTAACAACTTACTTCAGCTCTAACAGATCCTTCGAATCTTTGTATGTTGTCCCTGGAGATAAATATTGCTCAGATGATTTCTAACAGCACCCAGCTAGTACTCTCAATCTGTCCATTTCATCACACATATCATAACCTTTGTGAATGAGTGAGGAACAATGTCAGTTTTTCTCACCCTTGTTCCTCTCTCACTTTCTGACCTTTTTGACAGTTCTTCCATCATTTGAAGGAACTTGGGCAAGGCTGTCCCAGGTTGCTGTCAAAGGTGCTGAATACAACTCCTGAGAGTGTCAGCCCCACCCAAAATGTTTGGAAGGGACCTGGATGGATCTCCTCACCTACATATACAACTTACTGGACAACTCAAAGAAGAATTGACTTATTTGGCTGTATGGAATGGCAGGCGTCGGAAAGTCTGCCATTGCGTTCACCATAGCAGAGAGGATGAGAGGTCTAAAAGTGACAGAGCAGACTAGTGTCGAAAAGCAGCTCAGAGGAACATTCTTTTTCTTGTGCAAGTTTATGAAATGTTGCATGACTGGGTATTTTTTTGTGACTCTTGTCTATCAGCTTGCCACCAATTTTCCCAGCATCTGGAAGGATGTGAACAGAGCTATCCATGACAATCCCACTCTACTAGACCCAGATAAGTCTCTCTGTGACCAGATGGAGGCTCTCTTTCTCCAACCTCTCCAAAATCTTCAACTCAAATTATGTGGGTGTCTGCCTCTGACATTTGTTATTGATGCCCTTGATGAATGCACATCCAAACCCAAGCTCACTGATCTTATCCTTTCCCTTGCACGGGCTCTTTGTGAGCCTGATCTACCCATGACACACATTCTACTCATGAGTCGCTCAGAATTGCATATCTGCAAAGCCTTTCAGGACAAGGAGGTGCAGCTATTGTTGTGTGAAATACCTGTGAAAACTTCTGGGGAGGGTGTTGCTACCATCATCTCACTCAATGGTGCTGATGTTGATCAAGACATCTATATTTTCTTGCAGCATTCCTTCATGGAGCTTGCAAGTCACCATTTCAATTTCCCTCAGCCATCAGAGGATGATCTTGCAAAGCTAGCAAGTCAAGCAGGCAGATGTTTCATCATGGCATCTACAATGATGAAATTCATTATTGGCAATGAAGATGATGATCCCTATGGTCAGCTGCAGCTGATGCTCAAGCTAATGACTGAACTGCTGCCAGGAATGGAGGTCTACAAGTTATACAATAGTATCCTCTCCACATGCACTGACCCCAAACAGGCCTACATTCACTTGTCCATTGTCGTTGCACTTGCAGACCCTCTTCCCATCTTGCAAATCTCATCACTTCTTGGCCCTGGTTTTGGCAGGGATGTACAGACAATGCTGATACAGCTATGGTCTGTCATGGATATCCCTACAGATAGCACTCTCCCTGTGAATATTTATCACTCATCCATTTGCAACTATGTTTCCAACCCATCAAACTGCAGCCTCCCTCAAGTATGTGAACACAATATGCAATCACCTCACTCCCTACTCACTGATTCTTCTTTTTGCTTGATGATGAAAAATATTCCAGAAAGCATGGCCCTTTTGGATGTGCTCTCAGAAATGAAGAAACATAGTCAAGCTATGCAACCTGAGGACCCTCATCAGTTAAAGGTTTCACTATCCTTCCTTGTTTGGCCACCAGAGCCACTGTCAATTCTCATCTGTATACTATGGCTTTGGGGAGATCATACTTCAGATTTACAAGATTGGCCAGAGACTGTGGATGGGTGTGCCTGGGTGCAGAGCATGAATGGACAAGACTGGCTGCAGACCAAGGGAGCACAAGACTGGGTGCAGACCCAGACAGGACAAGAGTGGCTGCAGACCCAGGGAGGACAAAACTGGCTGCAAACACAGGGGGGACAAGAGTGGCTGCAGGCCCAGGGAGGTTGAGAGTGGCTGCAGACTGAGGGAGGTCAAGTGTGGCTGCAGATCAAGGGAGGACAAGAGTGGCTGCAGACTGAGGAAGGTCAAGTGTGGCTGCAGATCAAGGGAGGACGAGATTGGCTGCAGACCTGGAGAGGACAAGGCTGGGTGCAGACTGAGGGAAGGCAAGACTGGTTGCAGACTGAGGGAGGACAAGCCTGGCTGCAGACCTGGAGAGGACAAAACTGGCTGCAGACCCAGGGAGGACAAGACTGGCTGATTGAGGGAGGACAGGACTGGCTGCAGGCCAAGGGAGGACAAGACTGGTTGCAGACTGAAGGAAGACAGGAGTGGTGGCTGCAGACAGAGGAGGATGAGACTGGTTGCAAACTGAGGAAGGACAAGACTGGTTGCAGACCTGGAGAGGACAAGACTGGCTGCAGACAGGGGGAGGATGAGAGTAGCTGTAGACTAAAGGAGGACAAGACTGGTAGATACAGACTGAGGGAGGACAAGAGTGGCTGCAGATTGAGGGAGGATGAGACTGGTTGCAGACAGAGGAAGGACAACACTGACTGCAGACTAAGGGAGGACAACACTGGTTGCAGACTGAGGAAGGACGAGAGTGGCTTCAGACAGAGAGAGGACAAGACTGGTGGCTGCAACCCAAGGGAGGATGAGAGTGGTGGCTGCAGACCGAGGGTAGATGAGAGTGGTGGCTGCAGACTGAGGGTAGATGAGAGTGGTTGCAGACCAAGGGTGAACAACACTGGCTGTGGACCAAGGGAGGACAACACTGGTTGCAGACCTGGAAGGGACAGGACTGGCTGCAGACCCAGGGAGGACAAACTGAGAGAGGATAAAACCGGCTGCAGCTTGAGGGAGGACATGAGTGACTGCAAAGCTGGAGAGGACAAGACTGGCTCCAGACTCAGGAAGGGTACAACTGGCTCCAGACCCAGAAAGGGTTAGATTGGCTCCAGATCCAGAGAGGGTTAGACTGGCTTCAGACCCCAGGCAGGCAAAACTGGCTCCAGACACCCCATGGCCAAGTGTGGCAATCCATTCCTGTGGGATCCATATGGGCAACTATGGAAGAATTCTTGAGAATGGTGGAAGCAATCAGCAATTATATCATTGTCCCAGAATTGGCTTCCCTGCCAACCTTTAAAGTGGTCCAGCAGCTCAAAAGCTTGCCAGATTTCTTGAGGGATATTACTCATGCTCTGAATGCCTTTATAACTTTCACCAATGAGGCACAGGCACAAAGTCAATCATCTTCTGACACTCTCAAGTATGCATCTCAAAACTGGGTTGTTCACCTGTCATGTGCTCCAAATCCATGGAATGATGCTCTCAATCATATATTTTGAGCTTTCTGGAATCATCACCTCCATTCCTAGCTCAAACAGCAGTGGTATTTGAAGGGACTGCCATCTTGCCTTGATATTTTATCCAAAGGGCAGAAACTTGCAAAGGCTAGTGCCTTGCTTCAGGTTCAACCATTTTTTCATTTTGTGAAACCATTTTTTAATTCTCTCATCCTCAGTTTGAACCTTCAACACACAGCCTAATGAATGGGTGTCAGCCATTGGTCCCAATTCCCAGCACTCAACAGCAGAAGCTTCTGCCACCCTTCCCCTCTCCATGGCCCAACACCACTGTGCTACAAGTTGGCAGATCCAGAAAGTGAACTTTGGATGAGTCTGCGGTCAATAGCAACAGTGCACTTAAATTGGACACCTCTCATAGCCCATCAAAATGTCAGAAGTGAATCAAACAGTGTTTGCTACAAGTTCACCACTTGTTATTGAAGATGTTGTCTCTAAGCATCTGATGTAGTACTTAGTTTGTAACTGTTTGGTCAAGTATCTATCTGTTCTTGCATCCTCAAGCGCTTGCATTGGCTCACATGCGTCTGTTAAGAACCATGTTGCTCAAAGGAGAGAGAGACTGACTCAGAGGGGCTTGGCCTCAGCTCGTACGCTGTGCCCCTTACCCGAGTATGTGCCCTTCATTTCATATGAGGTCCGATGATGGTCCAATGAAGTCCGGAGGCTGGCTACTCTGCTGGAGAGCACTAGAGGACTTCTGGAGGAGCGCGGGAAACGTCCAGAGGAGCGCAGGAGGAGTTCTGGAGGAACACAGGAAGTGCTCAGGAGAGTTCCCACTGCAAGGTAATACTTCTACAGGAAACAGGATGGAAGGATAGGAGGTCCAAAGGTCCGGAGGACAGGAGGACAGGAGGAGGACAGGAGGAGGACAGGAGGACAGGAGGACAGGAGGACAGGAGGACAGGAGGACAGGAGGACAGGAGGACAGGAGGACAGGAGGACATATGTCCAGAGGTACGAAGGATAGGACATCTGAGGGTTTAGGAGGACAGAATGTCCAAAGGTATGGAGGGCGGAATGTCCGAAGGACAGGATGCCCAGGAGGTACAGGGCAGGAGGTCCGGAGGTCTGAAGGAATAGGGGCTACATCGGACCTTTTGTCCGTGTAGAAGCAAACAGGGGTAGACTACCCTAAGGTAGAGTTGGAGAGAACAGGGATTGGGAACCTAAGTCTGGAAAGAGGGATAAGTGCCAGAAAGGTGGAGCTCCAGCCTAGGGAATCAATCCCTAGGCCTGATGGGTAAGGACAGACTTAGGTGGACCAAGTCCAAGAGAGGATTGGGCAAGGTCTAAGTTGATATTCAAACTAAGAAACTACGGAGTATCTACAGGGTATATACTGAACAATATCTTAGGGGATCAGTAAGCAAAGGAGCAAG